ACAGAATATGAATTATACTCAGATCCTTGTTTGTGTTCGACATTGTAATAAATAGACCGGGATCCACCATATGAACTATCAAGACGAGAAGTGATTTCATATCTACCTGTAGCGTTGTTCTAAGGTGGCCCACTTCCATAGCTTCTACCGAAACTGCTGCTGGAGAGTTTTCGAGTTCGGTAATGGCGGTATTTCTTTTGCATTTTCATGCGGTTCTTAATGTTTCTTATCGAAAATTTTTGGAAATAGTAATCAGGAATGACAAATGAAATTCCACTTCAAGATCGTTGCTAAAGCGCCTCAAGAAGTGCTTTTGCCAAGGTGTATTACCCCCAATCATGTCTACTTCAAGCACATTCCTTTTTACTTCCTTATACGACTTTTTCTTAGCTTCCCGATAAATGCAGGAATCTTATGTCGGCATACTTTTGCTCAGCAATGTAAGCCTTGGTAATAATCGACATTTTGTCCTCATCAAGGGTTGTGAAAAAATCACTTTAAATTATACATTAAATTGTTTTACTCATTCCTTCCAACGTTATGTAAAGCTGAGCTCATTTTGGTGTTATTTTTTTCTCAAGATGATGGATAGCGTCACAACCTCTTTTAAATCCGCCCATCTAACATGTAAGCCACTCCACACTATGGGTAAATTATGTACGTTTAAGTGAGTTCGTCGAGATAGCATGGTAAAGAGGGGCGCATGTTCGGTGTGATTACTTTAACGCAATGGATGTGATAATCGAATATTTATGAATGCAGCTAAAGCGATATGAGGAGCAGAATCTGATGGAGATTGTAAGAGGAATGATTCTTCTCCTCCACCGCAGATTTCCACAGGAAGCAAATATGGGTCTAATTAGTGCCTACTGTATGTGGATGAGGTTGTCGGAGGATCTCTCTGCCGCTCTGGAACAACACGCAAACAGTCCTAACCGCTACTGCAAGACCTCCGAGTACATGAACCTCTGCTTCAAGGTTAAGTGGTTCTACAACACCCGAATTGCAGATGTTCCTGAACTCAAAGATGTTGTACCGGCCTATCCGAGGTTTGTCCGATCAAATAAGTTATTGTTATACAGTTAGCTTATTTGAGGCAGAAATTTACGTAGCATCCAAAAGGTAATTTTCGATTGCTCAGGCCTATTATTTATGGTTGCGAGAACTTTGTTTTCATAAAGTTGATGCATTTTTTTACCGATTAGTTGGTTCGAGCCATTCGTGATGCAGTGGTTAAACGAAAACGACGAAATCTCCATGGATTTCCTACGGAACGCCTATCAGCGCGACAAAAAAGACGGTTTTCACCGGTCAAGTGGTCAAGCCCTCTTCTCCAACTCCGTTGTAGACGTCTTCACACAATTAAATCAGTGCTTCGACATAATGAAAAAATTAGAGTGTCCAGATCCGGTTGTAAACGACCGTTTTCTCAATCGCTTTTCGCAAGTACGTGCAGCCAATGTAAAGTTGGGAAACTTTGCTTCTTGACATTTTTAAATCTCACGTTTGGCTGCAGCGGTACAGCATCAACGGATTTTGGGGGCAAAATCTTAGCAACTGGGACCTCCATCAGCGTCATGTAAAGCTAGCCTTGGCTTTTAGATACTCTATGAGAGTTTTGTGAATCTTGATAATATTTCAGTTGTTCTTATTCCCCTCCACCTCCATACATAATCAGAGATGGAGTTTATTATGTGTCCTCATTTTATTTACCTATTTTCAGTCGGAATCGCACAGCCAGCTAAATATTATTTCCCCTTTATGGTTATGTGTCTACTGTTTGAGTGCGTGAGATACGTTCACCTCATTTGTTTATTTTTGTTTTCTAAATCACTGAAAGTTTCATCTCTTTCATTGCCGCTCTGTAAATGCATATCTGGTATGGTTTCCCATAAGAATAGCTCAAGTTCTTTCTTCCACGTAGCAAATTTACACCCAAACAACATGCAAATGCATTTGCATTAAAAATAGGACTCGTCGTATGTTTTGACTTCTAAAGCTCACCTATATTTTCTACTACTTCATGATAATTTCACATTCGTGTTCAAAATATGTAACGTTGAAAAATTTCCATAACTCAAAAACCGGCTTTAGACGTTCTCACTTCTAGATTTGAACTGTCACTATTTTTTATTTGCACCGAAACCACATCCTCCCGTCTTTCAACATCGATGAGATCATTCCGACAATCTGTCAATGATGGGAACTGTTGTTGTACCTGTGGCTTATGAACTAATACCTTTTACTTTATGAGAAATTGTTTTCCGCCTCAAAGGTGTGTGGACTTGATCAGAACCTTAAACTAGGTTCCCATCATCGCTACCATGAGTAGCACTATGCCTGATTATGCTTATGGTGAAAGGCATAATTTGCTTAGTATTTCCATCCTGTCAAGTTCCCGCAAGCCATATGTAGAATGATATAAGTTTGTTTCTCCACCTCATGCCTACCTGTACCACGACAAATTAAATTAATAC